TAAACAAGAGCTTAGTCATTCATTTTTTGTTAAAATGGGCTTCATTTCACTCCAAATTACGGTAGCAAATGCGTAGAAAAGGATTACTTTAAGGTGTTATTTCACTTTTCGTTTAGCAAAATGCTCCCTAACTGTAACCAGAAGATTTCAAAAATCAATTATTTTCCTATCTATAATAATTGGAATCTACGAAAGAGTTGACACGAATCCAATCAGTTGTGATGGAAATATGATAAGAAGGTTTTTTCACAAACACTGACTCATCTCTTTGTCGGTTGACCCAATATTCTTCAGTTTTGGAGTCATTACCGCTCGATAATATCCCGTGATTCACTTCATTCATAAATATGAAGTTGTGTAAGATTGGAAAATTATGATAATCAATTTCGAGAATAAACTAAAACAACCAGCTGTTTGGAGGCAATATTGAACTCGGGTTCTTCAGATGACTTTAGCTGGCTGAGTCTCCATCTGCCAGGTTGGCGTGGGTTCGCCCTTGTTTTGTAAAGCGCCGATTGAATTCATCAGTAGATGAACCATAGATGAATTATGTGAATCAATAGTAGACTGTGAGATAAATTATATGAAATATATGGTACGAGAAAAGTCCTTTCTAGAAAATTTAGTTTTTTGAGGCTGAATCAGTTCATCTTGGCCGCCTTTTCGCACATCCACCACATCCACCATTTATTCCCTGATGAAGCGATTATAATGCAAGAAATCATAAGCGAAAATATACTCTTGACTCTTGATACAATTTGCGCCAGATACTTTAGGAAGTCTTCATAGGGCTTATCTGCTTTCCAGTCTTAATTTTTATGTTTTGGAACTTTTTTAGGCTACTGATAATAGAGGTCTCTACATAGTGACACCAAGGAATTACATTAGTCCAGTTTCTTAGCCTGAAAACTGTTATGAAAACGGTTATGTGGAAAATGTTCTCCATATTTGGTCATTGATCAAATTACATCTTTACAATGATCTTCGTCCTGTTTATCTGCTTTATATTCTTGTTTAGGTACGCATGATTCCAATGTGACGTATTTGACAAAGGTCTTTCCACGGAAATTACCTAAATTCATACAG